GCGATAGACTTACCTCCACGTGGTGCACCCTGGGCAACATATACTCATACGGCAAAAAAGTCTATTAACCGGCAGTTGACTTCTGGCTTCTAACTACCACGATCCCCCCCCCTGGTTGTCATATTCGACCCCTTCCACAGTATTCCCCTTACCTTTTTCTCTACCTTTGTGTCCGTCTATCTCTTTTACATCTGTGAATCGCTCTTCTGTTCCCCACCCCTCGACTTTCTACTACTTTGATGAACCTTCCCTCAGTGAAGCCCGAAGCCAGCTAAATGGCTAATGATATCTATCAAAACGCCTGCCATTTGAAATAAATAAATAAACTTTTTTATGGGGAGTTTCCTTTCCCGGTATTGTATTATTATTATTATCCTTACAGACTTTGTAAAGACGAATAACTGACAACTCTTCCCCGTGGAAGAACAATTGAAATTTCGTTAACGGTAAATTTCGTTGAGAGGTAAAGGGGAGAGGGAGCTCGGCCAATTGCTAAGGTTAAATTCGGGTATCGAAAGGGTCTTATTGGCTTCTTTTCGAATTGAATGGCACAGTGTCTGCTTAGTGAGTAGTTCATCTTCCAATATCGGTATTCGTCCATTGAACAGTAGATTTAGTTATAATCCGTTGGTTAATTATGCTGTAAAGTTTACCGTTTTGTTTATTTTCAATGACCGTGGTGATAGTTTGCTCATACTCACAGAGGTAAATCATTTGACTTGTTTTATTCGTTTCTATGCTTTGCAGAAATCCTTGGCATTTATATTACTGGCCAGGGTTATATCAAGGATCGAGCGAAATCCGCCTTCTACAAGCGATTACATGTTATTGAGGAAACTCCTCCATTGGCTTACAACATCCATTCAAATACTTTTCCCCTGGCTGGACTCTTCCGCTACAGTCAAGGAAGGTGAGCATTATTGCCATTACCCCTTTCTTTCTATAAGTGGAAGCTATTTTTATTACACTTACAACTTAAATATTTTCAGTTCGTGGTCTTCTTCATCAGAGGAAGGGATCCCTCCCCGCTGTTGAGGAATTTTTGCGTTCTGCAGCTGAATTGGAACTCTATGAGCTTGCGTGTCCTTTCGTGACTGCCCTGACCTGTCAAATTCGTCGAATGAATATCCTCCAAGCTAATCAGTCATCCCCACCCCGCAAATTTGGCTTCTATCAAACATGTATCGATAAAGTTCGTCAGCATATAGCCTCATGCCATCCAGATTTCACCAGTCTTGACCGTAAGTTTGACACTGCGCAGGAGGCCTTTACAAGACTTCGAATGAGAAGTGCCGATTGCTTCAATCCTACTTACTCATCGCTCAATATTCACTCAGAGCAAATGATCTCTGATGCTAATACGGATGAAACTCTCATCTCGAACTTTCAAAAGGAGCTCTTTTTGAAATGGCAGCGTCAGCTTCATTGTCCAAGCCGTCGTGCAGTATTGAAAGCTCTGTTAGAGGGAAAAACAATGCCCCACTACTTTGCGGTAAAGTCACACTGGGATGCTCTTAATGCTACTTATGCTTCTCAGATGGTTCCAATCTCCTCAAAATCCACGGTGGATCTAGATGAGAGTGATTCTGAGGCACCAGATGTTGAGATTAGAGCTCTTCCAGAGGAAATCATTGACCAAGAGGAAAAGGCTTTGTTTGATCCTTCGGTTGAACCTAGACGATGCCTCCTATGCGCTCGTCATACTGATGCCAGCATTGAAGATCGATTGATTTATATCGGCTCTGACACTTGGGTCCACGTCAATTGTGCCCTTTGGAGTAAGGAAGTATTTGAAGAGGATTCGGGTCAATTGACTGGACTCTCAGCAGCTTTAAGACGCGGATGTCGATCGCTTTGCAAGGATTGTGGTCGTCCGGGAGCGACAATGTCTTGCTCGAACACGAACTCTTGTGATGTAGTTACACACTTTCCTTGTGCCATGAGTCGATGGAAGCCAACTCATAGTAAGCCAGTATTTACTGCTGGAAGGAGTTTCTTCTGTTCTCCTGAATGCTTTACTGAGGCCAAGGCTACGAGATTTGTGCAATCGATTAAAAAGTTGCGATGCAGAAAGGTGGAGGGCGTTCATAAGCACAACGAAGAAGAATTAGAATTGGAAAAGGCGGTTATTATGGAAGATAGACGAGATGTTGATGAGCTTATTACTGAATGGGAAATATCACAAGAAGAAGTGGATTCTATAAGAAGTGAAATTGAGTGGGAAATGGCAGTAAGTGCCTTTGTGTCCAAACTTTGTTTTAACGTGTTTAGTCTATTTGTTCACCATTATTAACACAAAAATTTCACTTCTTCAGTATGAGAATGGGGTAGTTGTTTTTTGCTATTTCAATTTTATTCCAATTTCGCTCAGAAATAAAATCATTTTTTTATTTCCGTTCAAATTGTCCTCGATATTAGATTTGATTTATTTCACACCGAGGATAATATTCAGTTGGCTAAGCTCTTAACAGGTGTCTTACTATGCCGAATTTGGGGTCCTGGTATTTGGAGACGATTTTATTCGTTGGGATCTGTGGCGCTGAATGAAACGACTACTTCTTCTTAAGATCTATTGCTATTTTGTTATAATCACCTTCCCAGTGTGTCAGTATTTTTACAGACACAAATTTCCTATTGAAGCCTGATAGTAGCAATCTTCAAAGCATTCCCTTGAAAGACCTCTTCTCATCACATCAGGGAACAATTTCAACTCCTTCTTGGAGTATATAAAAGGTGGTTAAGCCAAGGCCTTTGGTGTGCCTGAGAAGGTGGATATTTTTTTCATCTAATACAACACTTGAGATGTAGTGTTGCTCGGTAAGTGTGTTTTAGGAATAAGTCAAGGTCAATTTCATCTAACCATCTCAATTTTGATGAACTCTGAAGCTCGCATTTGATCAGTTCAGTTGTGGGTTGACTGTTGGAGAATAATTATGGGTTTTTTTATCTCTTTGATTTATGCCAAGCCCTTGGCAAATATCTAGCTTCAAAAAAATCTTTCCTCACCCTATTTTTCCTCTAACATTTTGCTAACTATGTACAGTATTGGCATATCTTTGATTTATCGCACCTTGGTGTATTGCCAATTCAGTTACACAAATAAAATTCGCTAGTTTATTAAACTTTAGTCTTTGTGCAGTCAGTTTTTTATGTAGTTCCTTTCACTTCTTTATAACGTATTGAAAGCTCATCGCCTATTTGCTCTGTGTTTTCCGTTTGCAGAGTCCTGAACTTCGAGAGATGCTTGTCTGCAGACGTGTTTTTGTGCCCTCTGATTGCTTCGTGGTTTCCCTCCGAGATGATGATGATGATGGATTCGATCAGAAAGAGAAGCAGGAGGAAGGCTCTGGCGTTAATGAGAATGAGGAAACTGACGATTGTGGTGATGAGGATGGAAAGGTAGTGAAACGTCCAAATGTCCTTTCTCTAGCTATCTCTGTGAATACCCTTGCCTTCGCTTCATACAAACTTCCAGCATCGGCTTTTGTGGTTACCATCGGCTCACTACGTATCGATCGGCTTGGACACATAGCTGAGGCTTCAGATTCTCTCTGTCGGGATAAACCAAATTTCTTATGTCCTGTTGGATATCGGTATGTTTGTTCACTTGCTATTATTTTCTTGTCATTAGCTTGAACATTGTTCAATTGTGGTCCCTGCTACTGAAGTTGTTTTAGTTAGTTAAGAGATAATTGATGTTTCGATGCCGCAGAGGTTTACGTCCTCGTCTATGATAATAGTCGATGAATTGAGCACTGAGTGTAGACCGGCTGCATTAGTTTAGTCTGGTTAATGGAAAATTTTATTATTTGGGATGAGAGTCAGTAATGGTATTCCCCCCCCCCTGTTCTTAATGAGTGGTGATAAACGCTTTCTTAAATTCTCCCAATGCTAATAGCATCAAGGTCTTTTCTTCTAGAGTTCTTGCATGGGTTGAACTTTGAACTGGTGTAACCCATCATATGTTGAATAAATAAGTCAAGGCATTCATATTCCTAGAACAGTACTGAGATTCCTAGTTGACAAACGTTATTGATTGACTGCAATTTTAATATTGGCAATTGATTGAAAAGTGGTGGTCTGTGTGCACTTCTGCAAATGGATCTTGGCTCCAAGCTTGTAAGTTTTCGAATTTGAGCCAAAAGTAAGGATTTTTAATGAAAAAAGCTACAAATGTGTATGTGATCGATCAGGGTCATGAGAGATCAGTCCTCGTCTTTATACACTCAAATACTGCGGAAGGTTGACCACATTGGTTAATTACGACTAACAAGAGTAATTGCAATGGACTTCTATTAAGAATGCTTCTCTTCAAGTCATTTGTGAATATTTTCCACTTTTGTACTGTTAGTTGAGTTGTGAGGTCCTACAAATGGATATGAAATTTGACTGACTAGTTCAATTAAATGTAAATAGTAATTCTTGATGAATAAACCACTCTACTTTGGTATCTCCTATCTCTATCGATGTATTTTCTCTGTCTTGAAAGTGCCCGCCGTTACTACTGGAGTACCACCGACCCAAATGTTCTTGAACCCCACACTCTGACTATTAATCAGGCTCCCAAGGATTCTGTCAGAACAGATAATCTGTCTTCATCTGCATCTTCTGGTGGTGGCGCTACTACATCCTATCAGCGTTCTATCCTACCTCATCTCCCAAGCAGTCGATCCACCAACATTTATACGCCCATTGCATCTAAACCCCTGGAACCTGGAACCAAATTGGTGCCTAGTCTGAGTTCTGGAAGCAGTAAATCGACATGCGCTTCTTCACCCTATGATCCATACCCCAGTAATCCTACTGGCCTTCCTCTTATTCGTTTTACATATACGTAAGTTGTTTGTCCATATCTCACAATGCTCAGAATTATCACAAAGTAGATGGCCTTGATTTTTGAGTGAATTCATCGCCCACATTGCTCAAGGCCTATGCACGTATTTACTGAATGGAGCAGTCTCTGTCATTTTTTTGGTCTCTTGTTAAAAGCTTTGTTTAGGGCTTTTCTCAATTACCCTATCACTCACTTGTTAGTGAATTGAAATGTTTAAATCATAAGCGGTACTTTTCCCACCAATAGGAATGCTTTAAGAGCTCGACCAAGTTTGCCTTGGATCTTCCTTAAAGAGTTAAGAGGACCCAATAGTTTGTTTTCCAAATGACAAGCTGTCACGTTTATTATGAGGAGGACCGTTTGTGCACTAGGCAACTCTGAAGTAATGTGTGTGTGGAAGGGATAAAATGTTGAACGATAACAATGAGGTTTCCATCCAATTTATAATCCTGTTTGTAGTGGAAAAAATCGAATTCGTTTAAAGTGAGTCTGCATAGTTTATATTATTAGCAGTAAATTGATTTTTAGCATTACAAGGAATCTAGTTTATCAAAGTTTTGAATAAGCGTATGAGTGATAGAGTAGCAAGACAACGAAGAATAATCAAGCGTAAATAATTTACTATAGAAGACTTGAAGAGTTTGCATTGATATGCATCGACGTAATGTTTTTCCTTGTATCATCCACACAATTAATTTGTTAAACTTTCTTCTTTTTTGCCATGTAATTATAGACAAGGCACACCTCCAAATCGAACCTTCCAAAGGGCCTCCATTATCCCCCAACAGCAGCAGCAGCAGCAACAACAACAAACAAAACAGCAACAAAGCTCCGCTTCCACTCTGCCAAGTGGCGTAGTGTCTCCCACTTATACGCATCAGCAGTCACGAGTTGTTCAACCTGCTATAATGCCTCAACAGCAACTTCGACCACAAATGGCACCACTTCAGCCAAATTCTGCTCAAGTCGCTGTTACTTCTTCAGTCCATTCCGCCACTTTTGTTCCAGCCAAGCAGCAAGCAGTTGTGTCTGCTCCGCCGCCGTCGATGCATATGAAATCGATGACTGTTGTCAACGCTTTCCCTGGAGGTTCTATGATGACTGCAAGCATACCGTCTAGTACCAGCTCTGTTACTGCTGCTCCCCAGAAGAGTCAGTCCCTCATACTTACCAAACCGTCTGTTCAACCAGTTCAAATTGGGACATCGACACTTTCCAATGTTGCTTTCCCTCCGAGAGCTACTCTACCGAAAATTGTTGGCGCAGGTAACATATTCCATATTACTTGTGACTATCATTGTTAAAATTTGTTTTTTTGACTCCCTTTTGTATTTATATATTTGCGTTTTTTCATATTAAGCTGGTAGATATATGAATAGGAACTCGGATAAGAGTTTTCTCTGCATTTTTTAATAATTTTTCATTGGTTAAAATTATTTTCCGCAGTTTTTTCATTGAGTATCTCATTGTGCTGATTCATAACTCTCCCTAATCTACTGAGTTATCCAATTTTTTCTCCATTAAATGACTTATTAGTCACCTTTCCACCTGTTTGTAGTAGTTGGAATTAGTCCGATTCTCTACTGTTACGATCGTGTTGAAATAATCATAGCACCTTGAGAATATCGTTCGAAATGGACCCGGCATGGCATTAAATCCATTCTTTGTCGAAAGACCTGCCCGTGTTTCGGTTTTAAATTGTTGATGGACAATTGGAGTGTTAGATTCTTATGTTGATTTTTGTGAAACTTCATTCTAATTTGTGCTTTTATGTTATCATATGCATGGGACTATTTTATGTGGGTTTCGATAAATTATTTGTCAACAGGAGAATGGTGAGATCTAAGTTTCCCCTTAAGAAATAAAAGAAAATTTCTAAAATTGTAATTGTCAAATTTATTCATATCAAATGGTAGGCTTTGTGGTAGGTATCATTAGCTATCGAGCTTCACAGAGGGGAGGAACATCAAGGTCACAGAAGGTCGAAAGTGGGGGGGGGGAGTGATTCACGGATGCAAAAGAGACAGACACAAAGGTAGAGAAAAAGGTAAGGTGAAGTGAGTACTGTGGAAGCGGTCGAATATGACATACAGTGGGGTCATGGTAGTTTGAAGTCAATTGCCGGATTTTGGACTTTTTTAGTGGGTGAGTATACGTTACCCATGGTGTACCACGTGGAGGTGAGTTTATTGCCCACCCCAGTAATTGGTAAATAAATTTACCTAACGATTTTACCTGTGGTGCATAATATATCATTCATAGCTTTTTCCCTTCTCACTTTTATCTAGTTTCTTTGAGTAAGCCACTAACAGTGCAGCGGCAACAAACTCCGAGTACAACAAGCATTACGTCTACCGTAACGCCTCCTCTTGCATCATCATCATCATCATCCGCAACTGTCATTTCAAGCAGTGGATATTCGGCCCAGGTGACTACTTCTTCTAATGTCGTTGAGAAACGAACTGCTCTCCAGGCTCAACTCTCTCCTCCTCCAACCATGAGTAAACATTGTTAATTTTTTCTATTACTAAGCTTCCATTTTCATTGTTTATTGACTTTTAACAAGTGCTAATGTACTGGTGAAGTCATTAATCCGCGATTCGCTGTGCCCTTCATTACACACGCTCGGCGAGGAGGAACGGCTAGCCCACTTTGTTTAAATGTGTCTAGTAATGTGACTATCAGAATTCAAATTTGTAATCAGGATGATTCTGCAAAATGGTTAGGATGTTTCGTGTTCTACCGTCCTGAGTACATGCCGCTGGGAGAACGAGAAAAGAATAGTTAATCCTATGAAGGGAGGGAGGGAGGGGGGGGGGTGGCGATTTTTGAACTCTCAATTTTTATTTAAGGTAAGGGTGGGGTAGATTGAGATCCTCGCTACCAAGACTCCTTTTAAGAGTAAGACCGCATGATAAGTGTATGCTCTCCAGAGTATTGTGGGAAACTCCTGTTCTCACGAAAGGGCTTGATTCCTATCACTTGCCCCTAACGATGTCACATGCTAACTTTAGTTGAGGTAAATGAAATAGTTACACCAAACAAACTCCAAATTCTCAAATGATATTTTTTTGGGATTTACGACCGTCTCATCATTGAGGCGGTGGTATGTAATCTAAATATTTCTTCATGTTGAGCAAAACTGCTGTATTCTGGCGAATGCAGTGAAAAAATCCGTGGCTTTAAACAAATTGTTTTTCAAACTTCTCACCCTTAAGTATTACCCTAATCTCTCATAAATTGCAGCCAGTTCTAAACTTTTTTAAAGACCCTTGGGGGAGAAGCCTTTTCAAGATCTTGATTATCAGCTAATCAATCTGCAAATATTTCTAACTGCACCACTTAAGCTTATTTGTTCCCCTATATTGACTTGGCAAACAAAATTACAACTGCATTACATGTTCTATATACACAGTGAAGCGCCCAGTTAACGTCTTCCAATCCCTTCCGAGTGGATCTCTGGTGAGAATGGTTGCAACTACCACTTCTTCCGTCACACCCTCTCAGGTGATACGTCCACCTTTTGTTGTGAGGGGTCCTCTGACTATTGGCACTCCAAGGGGACCTGCTGGACCGCCTCTTCGGCCTGTTCGACTTTTTGCTTCCGCCAGCAAGCCGTTGGTCGTTGGAACGGGTGACGTCTCTACTGCTCCTACAGTTCTCGCAGTAAACCCCACAGCATCTACTGCACATAGACTGATTCGCCCTCCAGTTGTTATTCCAAAGATAGTACGACCATCGGGCCCAATTTCTGTTGTGGTAAGTTAGCATGATTCATCTTTTTATGACGTGTTATCATAAAAAAAGGAATTCTTTACATCTGATTAGAAGAGCAGTTAATGGTTAAAAAAGTTGAGATCGTTTTTACGGTGGTATTCAATTTCGATGATTTTTAAGTTTATTTAGGGCTTAAGCACGTTGAGATAGGAATAAAGAAGAGGTTACTGCCTAATTACGGAGACTTGTGATTTGGAAAAGTCTAATCGGAATCAGCTGTTTTAAATTCCAATTTTACTACTTGATTATTGTATTAATTATTCTCCTCTTCAGCTAGAACTTCTTGTTCCATTGCAAGCTCCCACCTCTAGAAACTTTTCCACACTTTCTACGGCAGTCTACTATAAGTTTCCTTGGAAGAATGTGACTGGTCTCGCCTTTTTAAAGGCATACTTGTGTATACTCTAAATCTACCAAACTCAAAGGTAAACGGGGTACGTGTAAGGTTCTATTGAAGATAGTTGGATGGATACTGAAACATGGAAGTTCATCGTGCATTCAGTCTAAGTTCTGTTATTAAATGCATCTGTTTTGGAGACAGGGATATTGGTTCTCAAGAGAGAGGGAGAGAGAGTGTGTGTGTATGTGTGAGGGGGGGGGGCGATAGTTGTCTGATTTTTTTCGTGATCCCTCTCCACAAAAAAGTTCAAAATTCACCTGGCAGCAAGAAATGGCATACATCCGAATTGTAAAAGTTCAAAAGATATTGTGTTTGTATCGTCCCCATCTTTAATGTTATTCGAGCCATTAGATGGCAATAGCTGGAATTCGCGTAGTTTATTGACTCTCCTACTCATACATGAATTTTAAGTGCAATTTTCAATGCGCATTCCTTTCTGGCTATAATAATCACATTCATGTGTGTACTCGTGGTAGCAATCCCCTGCACCAGTTACTACGCCCGGCCAATCGAGTGTATCTCAAGAGCAGAATCCGGACAACCCTTCCTCTTCTCAACCCCAGATCAAACAGCTTGATGGTTTGGACGATTCAGACGAATTCCTTAACATGCCCCGACGTAGAGTGGGAAGTGGCAAGAGTGTTCCACAGAAGAAAAAGTGGATGACAGATTTGGAGAACAGACGAGCGCTTCAGGAGAGTGTTCAAAAGGCACGTCAAGTGGTTAATGAAAGAATGTACCAAAAGGAAGCGTCCCTTTTCGTAAGTCCCTCGAATGTTTCCCGCTGGTATTATCATTCGCTGTTATTTTACTTAACTACGACGTGCCTTCTTTCTAGGCCAACTCCTTCCAGCTTATCTTTACGGCAAAATCTTCGAAAGAAAACTTCTTCACACCCACAGCTGCTTGGCGTGCTGTTGTGAGTGCTGTCGCTGATGTTCGCAGAGGCCGAAATCTCCCTTTCGCTTTTCCTCCCTGTAAGTGCCTCTCTGTATAGTCGTTCTACCCTAGGCATTAGAAACGAGCTCTACTTTAGGTTTATTTTAGGACAACATATTTCTATCAACAATTTTCTTTTGGATACCGTTCTGTTCCACTAAAAGGTCATTAGTAGTGTACGGTTAATTAAAATTTAAAAGATTTGATGGGGACTTTGTTTGCAAAAATTTTGAATTCTTGATATAACCACGGTAGCTACTGACCTGATGCTCGTCTACGCATACATCAAGCAAATGGCATGACCGACTGCTAAGAAACATTATCAGGAATGTCACAAGTTTGTGTAATTGGTGTAAATCTGTAAGATTAGGTTAGAATGAAAGAAAAGGTCAATGAGCACTCATGCATATATATATATGAATATACATGAGAAATGGTGAGTGGGAGGGAGTGGCTCTCCTGCCAATATGATTGCAAACCTCCATTTCAAGCAAGCGTAATGAAGCCGATTCCGAGTCCTGTTATAATCGATTACTACTCTGACCTACCATGTTCCGTTTCGCTAGTGGTCGAAGCTCTGTGTGCGGTTCATTGAGACACTGGTTTTCCACTGCTTTGGCATATCATTTTCTGAAAAGGCTGCCTCTACCTTTGCTTGAATGTATTTCTCTTGATGATCGTCTTAATTCATTTTTTGATTTTGTTGTTTTAGACCCCTCATAGCTGGGGAGAGAGAGAAAATTAATTTTAACCTATTGTTTTTTTATATAGTCATTGACGGTTGGGCCCAGTTCGGTCTTAACCACCGCCACGTGATTTTCCTTCTTGAACAACTACCTGGAGCTCACACTTGCGTTCGATACAATTTCCGATATCACCGCTATCGAATCGATCAAATTCGGGAGAAGGTTAGTCCCCTTTTACATAATGTCTTATTCCCGTCTATGAAATAGACATGATGACATGAGGTTCCTCCTTTTCTAGTATGAGCCACCGCAGTCTAATCTCCGTGGTGCAGCTCGATTAATACCCTACGAGAAAGATCCCAAGAGATCTGAAATGGCCCGTGATCCATTGGCTTTCCTAATGTGTAAGGCGAATCAAGCTCCTCGTTCCTGTCTCCCGTTAGATTGGCCAGGCGAAAAGAGTGGCCGCTTGGCAAGGGGAGGTCTGGACAGCCTTCCATCTTCGAATTCGACAATAGTTCCTGGACGTTTCCCCTCTGCGTGTATTGATGCTGCACGTCAGGCCGCTTCGATTGTGGCCGACTCTCTCAATATCTCCCCTCGTCTGCATGCGCGAACTGTTGAAGCTGTGGTTGCTGAGGCAACCGCTGACATGGTCGAGGAAGCGGAAGCTGGGAGATCGAAGCAATTAGCGTCTGTGAGTTATCTTCGCTTTAGCTAATCCTATTTATGCTCTCCTCTTTTATGGCTCCTTCCAAAGCCTCAGTTTTATTGTGTAAAGTCCGTACGGGAAAATTTTCTGACAGGGTGATTGGTTGCCTGTCTGGGCTCGTTGCCGTTAGTATAGTTAGCAGAATATCCTATCTCCGGAATGGGGTTGTAGAAATCAAGTTTGTCATTGGAGGTGTTTCATGATGCTTAGAATAATTACTGTGACTGTTTGCATGGTATACGAATTTTAACCAAATTGAACTTTCAACTGCCTATCTGTGAGCGAATTCATTACGCTCAGGAGAGTGTTGTATCTGTTAACCTTCTGAGTGCTTTAGCATGTGTGAAAGCGTGATCAAAGTATGTCTTTGACATCAGGCAGCAGAAAAGAATGAAAGTGGGAAAAGCTTTTTAATGGAGTGGGAAAAATTAAACAATGAACTAGGCAGAGTAGTGTTAAAGAACACCATGGTGATAGCTACCATCTCTCTTCAATAGCCGCTTCTACCTTTAGAAGTGTATTTAGATTTCAAGCTTCTCATGAATGCTTTCCTATTGGGTGTCAAGGTCGACATATCAAAGTCCACTTTCAATCTTATTGGGCTTTGTGGCTGGTACTGCTAGGCACGTGGTGTATGTTACTTGTAGCTGTAGAATTGATAGTGACAAGTAGAGTAATATCTTTATTTGGATATTATGTTTACCTTCTTCAGTTGACTTTCCAACTCCGAAACATTCCAACCAGCCGAGAGGCTCGGATGTGGCGTGTGTCAGTGTGTCCTTCGCGGATTCACAAACGTGGTCTCTTCGCCCTCTGCTCTTTCCGTCCAGGTGAATTGATTTGCGAGTACACTGGGGAACTCGTATCTAACATGGTATGCGATAAACGTGAGGCGATGTATCGTTCCAAAGGAGTGGACTGTTACTTCTTCCGTGTCACTGAGGATTTGGTTGTTGATGCCACCTACGCCGGAAACTATGCACGATTTATTAATCACTCCTGCCAACCCAACTGTGGTGCTCAAATTGTTGGGAAGAATCATATTGTGATTACTGCTAACAGAAGGTGAGTTGGTTGTGCCCAGTATCATGTCTGTATTCGTCAACTTTTTCATCGCGCTGGTTGGAGTTCAAAAAAATCAATACTAATCGGCACTCCTTTAGAGATGTGAATAGTCAATCGTAGAAGGAGGAAAAGAGCATGAGTGTTTGGTGTCTGTGTCGATGTATGGCGCTGACACAGACAAATTAGCTCAGTAGTCTTGATTCAGAGGCTGTTTAAAAAGCGAGTCAATAGTCACGGGTGCTTTCGTCAGGAAGTGATGAGATGCAGTGATTACACTCGATTTATACAAAGTTTCAATCAATTAGATAATTCCAATTTAGATTGAAACTATTTGTGATCACCTCTTACCATCTGAGAATTCTGAATTTGCCTAGTAAATATGGAGACATGGTGATTGCGAGGATGTATGTAACGACGTTCCATTCTTGCTCAATCTCCCTCTCTCGCGTTCCCACTGCCGTTGGGTGCAATATAGTTCTGTCACTGTGGAACAGAGCACTAATATCATCTTTCTGTTGCAGAATTCTTCCAGGTGAAGAGTTGACATACGATTATCAGTTCCCCAAGGAGGCGGAGAAGCTGTCCTGCAATTGCGGTCGAATTGGATGCAAAAGATACTTGAATTAACTTTCACCCTGTTCACACTCTTTGCACTGAGCACTTTTACTTCTTGTTTAACACACCTGCATCTTCTCGTTTTTATTTTATTTTTAAACTTGCAGATTCGCATAAGCCACTTCTCAATCTTCTGCAATCCTCTCTCTTTTTTCACTGCACTCCTCCCCAAATTTTATATATAGATATATATATATATTATATATATATATATATATACATGTATTACAAGTGAATGAGGTATCTCCCTGCCTCATTCATATCTATTTGTGTATTTATGTACAGCCGGCGTATTGGGCTGAGTTTTGCCGCCCTCTCAGCCTTTCTCTGTGCCGTATCATTCTGTTCCTCTCATGTTCTAGTTTGGTTCGGGACGCAAACTACTATTTTTGCCTCTTAATGTTGAATATGTATGTATGTACGTATGTATGTAAGCAGAATCACAGCGTTGACTTGGAAGACACCCGAATTCTCTCACGCGCGAATTCATTCACTTGCCATCCCTTCTGTTGCTATATATTTATGTATTGTGTAAAATTCTCGCTGTCTTTTCTCAAATATTTAAAGCAAGCAAGGAAATGCTTCAAAAGATTTTTTCTCCCCCCTTTTTAATGTCTTGTGATGGGGTTTCCTGGGTGCCCTAGTAGGATGGCTATTACTGGCGCGAATAGCCATGACCTGTGTCTGGGAGAGAAATATTTGTCTGTGTGTAACGGGGTAGGTAGCAGTCAAAGTACGCTTTTGCAATATAAGAGTTCAGTGATCTAGTGACCGAATTGCCTGACAGTTCTCAGAGCAGTGTTGCTAAGTTGAAGTTATTTAGTCGAAATATCTTGGGATTCTCAATCCAGCCCCAATTTCAGGTCACAACTCCCAAATCGCGATTTTTCGTGAAATAATTCAGTATGTTTAGGAAGTAATTTTAGTTCCTAGGGGTTGTAATTGAGTTGGTCGGTACCTTTAATGACTTTGCCGTTCGTTGCCAATAATAACGCAATAGGGATAGTGAAGACAATCAAGATAAGGAGAAATATATAAGAGACTATTCTGTCGTTCGGTGGATCAAAAGTCAATGTCTGCTCAACTGAAGATGGAGAGTTGTATGCCTATCAGTGTGCAGCCAGTGAACAAAGTGAGGGGGGGGGGTACTACAATATTTATTCATATCAAATGGCAGACGTTTTGATGGTTATCATTAGCCCTTTAGTTGACTTCAGGCTTCACAGAGGGGAAGGAACATCAAATCGAAAAAAGTTGAGAGGAGGGGGGGGGGGAAACAGAGGAGTATTTCAAAGATGCAAAAGAGACAGACACAAAGGTAGAAAAAAGATGAGGTTAGTACCGTGGAAGTGCTCGAACATGCATTGCAGTGGGGTGATGGTAGTTTGAAGTCAGAAGTCAACTGCCGGTAAATAGACTTGCCGTATGAGTATACGCTGCCCAGGGTGCTACAATATAGAGAGTGCGAGAAGCTGGCTGGATGACTGGACCATAGGGGGGGGGGGGCATGAGTCATATAGACGCGTGATCGTGAGCATAGGACGCCACAGTCTGACTTGGAGGAAGATTACACCGGGTTTTATGTGGATAAAGCCGCTGAAAAGTCTAGTTGAGTAAGAATTGACGAAAACATGGTGATTCGAGTTTCCTCAAGAGTTAACGTTAAAACTGCAGTTGGAAAGGGCATAGGCTTAGGTATTGAAAGAGTTGATTGGGGTGTAACACAATAAGTAAGCGTTGTAAATGGGCTGCAGAACTTAGTTGAAAGCACTAAGGGGTCAAATAAATCATCCAACAAGGTAAATCGATGCTATTGAAAGGGACTTTTAGGTCAAGTTAAACAGATGACGCGCAAATCAATGTTTATTTCTCTGAGGCAAATAGTTAAACGAACTGAATCTTCAGGTTTGCTTCGTTTTAGCAAGCTTTACTCCACCTCCTGACCTGCACTCATGTACTTAATAATCAAATGTACTTTTTATTTCATTTCACAATCTTCAGTCGCTACCAGTCTATGTATTGACTATAGGATTGGCCAAATTCAACAGTCTGACTTGGTACAGGGCAAATATTTTGATTACAAGTAGGCAGATGAATTTCAATGGAAATGCAATTCATAACATGAATCATTACTCCCATTCCTGCGTTTTTGGTGGCATTTTCCCATTGGCTGTTAACTATTCGCGCGCAGGCTTGCTTAAACATAAAAGATTAAACTTCATCATTTAGTTTCCATTCCCATTGTAGGACATTAGCATGGAATTGAATAGTTTCCAACAAGATCGTTCCGATGGACATGCGGCATTCAACGTCGGCAATCTTCTCTCGGATGATGTTGATCAACGAGGAAGTGAAGGAAACTATCCTCCATGTAAGCTCTTTTATCATATCATCTTGGGTCATAAATAGGCCTCAATTTGTGACCATCCACATGGCGGCATTGTAACTCCTTGCTTTAAGCAGCGCTTATATCCTCCCAAGCACTATTTAGAGCAATTTTTTCTTTAGACCTTTCTATGACTGTAAATACTTCAATGTTGAATGAGTTAAGCACTCCATTTAATCGCTCCTTAATTGGCACTAGAGGGTTTTATTAGAACATTAAAATTTTGAAGTAGATTCACAAATACGACACATGTAAGTATGATATCTTCTAGTCAATTCTTAGCAGTAGGTGGCATTATGTCAAAAGTCGCAGCAGACACGTCTAGAAATTCTTATATTTCACGAATGGGGGTGTGCGATAGACTTACCTCCATGTGGTGCACCATGGACAACGTATACTCATACGGCAAAATGTCTATTATTCGACAGCTGACTTCTGACTTCAAACTACCATGACCTCACTGTATGTCATAGTCGATCACTTCTACAGTGTTCACCTTACCCTACTCTCTATCATTGTGCCTATCTCTTTTATATCTGTAAATCATTCTTCGGTCCACCCTCTTGAACTTTGATGTTTCTCCTCTCTGTGAAATTTGAAGTCAGCTAAGAGTTAATGATAACTATCAAAATGCCTGCCATTCGAAATAAATAAAGTAACAGCTCTCATCAATTGTTAACATCTTGACCGAGTGTCCAAATTTATCAATAGGTCAATAACATTTGATCATGAAATCTTTCGGCTAATTGTGGAATAAATTCCAACGTCTGGACAATATTACGCAAAGCAGTAGACTTGAACCCAGAAGCCAAGACGAGCATTCGCATTGGGCTGGTTCTCCGTCCAGTTTATTCAAATAATTTCTTCAATAATAGACCCTACTGTGCTCAAGTCTAGGAACTTCGGTGTTTTAGGTTCTTTCTTAGTAAAGGAACCTCTCTAAGTACAGGCATCGAAAAGAGAGAAAAGCGAGTTAGTGCTTCAAAATAATATGCCTTAATTTCAATTGACACAAATATTTTGCAAAGGAAACTCACATTTCATTTAATCCACTTAGGCTATGGCTACAATATCGAAGGGAGATCTAGTGTGTCGAGAATGCCAGTGACCGGTGGGTGGACCCTATTCCAAGCTCTCCTTGCCTATTTCTTTCAACTGGGACAAGAAAGTGTATATGGAAATTCCAATGTCGATTTCATTTCGTCATATTTTTGTTCAAGTAAGTCTTGGGAAAGCGAAAATGATGAGGTACTAACTTATTTCGCTAAGACCCTTTCTCTCTATTCTTTCTAGTTGCAAGATTCCTGGTGTTGTATTATCGCATCACAGCTGGTATGATACGTACAAACTTAGTGGATACATTAAGACCGAAAAAAATGCGATAATGTTTACATCGAAGCATCGTTCAATAAGGTATAAACGAGGGAGGTAATTGAGGAGTCATCCCTAAAATCAACTCAATAAGAAACTTTATTAACCCACTTTCTCATTAAGTGTACTGTGTCGTCTTTATCGCGTTCAAATAGATCATGTAATACTAATACAAATTCTAAAAGAAGTCATGTCATTTAGGAACAGTCGAAGAAATGCAAAGTACGAAAAAAACGGAACCACAAAGTGAAAACCAGCAAAGATACCAAGAGAAGAAAACACGGACAGTATTTTCGCGGACCCAAGTAAGTACTCTGGAAGGCGCCTTTGGATCAAAGCACTATTTATCGAGCGGAGAACGAATCAGTCTTGCTAAGCATCTTCGGCTCACTGAAACCCAGGTCAAGATATGGTTCCAGAATCGGCGGAACAAACTGAAACGCAAAAGGAAGCTTGAAATGGAAGCCACTGCAAGGGAATCGATTCTCCCTTCGGTGCCCCCGGGAGCCATTCCAATGGATTTATCATCCCCTTCCATCTCATCCTCCCTTATGAATGTTAATGAATGTGGGCTATTCCCGGAGTAACTTCACTGTCTTCTTGATTTCATTGATGAAAATAATTTTCGCAGGTAATTTATTTTGGATTTTTATCGATTCCTGTTAGTAAAAGGATATTAGACATAACTGATCACACATTTACAAATTCTCCAAAAATTTGTCGCATTGATTTGAATTGTAACAAGAGATAATCATAACCCTACTTACTCATTGCCACGGATAGATAAAAAACCTGATAAATTAATGTAATTCTGGCTCACATTTCGATCAACGGAAGTGATACTATTCCTAATATAGACCAGCTAATATTCTTAAACTCAGATAAATGAGAAACTAAATCATTGGACTGCTCGTACTTAATGTTACCGTAATATATTACACGACCATTGACTCATAATTTGTTCACAAATTGAGAATTAACAAAGAACGCAAAATCGGTCAACCGCCCCCAAATTTACTTAATTTCGACGGTTCTCTATGATCTGAATAGACCCTAGTTCAGCACTGACATCTCTCTCTTTCGCCTCGATCAATCCCTTCTCTTTCTTCTTGCCTCTCTTTGCATACATTTCCATCCAGTTTGGTCTTCCAGAACGACAAAGGATGCTAATTCCGTTAGCCTCTGGATGATGAAAGAGAGTTCTAGAATGGGCCCTCCATCCTAACTTCTCGAGGCTTATAAAGCATCCTTACTTAGGATAAGGGTTACTGTAGCGTTTAACATTGTCTCATGAACGGTTCAGTTCGCCTCCTTCTCCCCAACAAACGCACACACACACACACTTCCCAACGGTCCAACGGGCGAATTTCCTGGTCAGGAGAAAACTAAAGATGTGTGGCCTCCAGGGGTAACCAGATTTTGGATTCAAAAATACTGCAACTAAACAGTAATCAGAGGATATGTCCACATTTGTAGAAACGAGGAAAACGTAGAATAAATTAATGGCCATTAGCTTGAATTCCACCGGGGCAAGATTAGAGGAATTCTCAGAAGAATTCTCGGTGGATTGAGGTAAAAGCGCAATCCATTAAAACAACCCTGATGAGGAAATTGAACGTGACGCATTAAAATTCACAAATGAAAGGATGTAGAAAAATTCCATTAGGTTTTACAGCCCGTCGACATTAATTTCTCTTCAGATTTTGATAAAACTTATCCGCCTATAATCAAGCAATTGAGATGAAAATGGAAATAGTAAGGCCATGGAACTCATAAGCATTTTTTATACAAGGGCTCCACATCTCTAGTATACTGCAGTGAGCTCAGCTATGTAGCAAATGCCCATGTTAGTGATACCTGCTAGTGGTCCGCAGGTTGGAAACATTATAGTTAACCCAGGGACCTAGGCTTCAAATCCTCGGGAATGTCAGAAAGTGACGCAATGGAACATAGACATCGGTACACTCCTTAATACTTTCTTCTCCTGAACTGATTAATCGGAGTTGTAAATCATTCCATTTACACTTCCATTGAGCCTTCGGGATAGAGCGAACATTGCGTCAATTTAGAAAGTTAAAAAGCGAGACTAATTAAGCTGATTTAGATCGGAAGCTATCATTAATGACCTATTGATGGCCAATCATAAGCAGGAACATGGACCACCCAATTGACCCCACTTTTACACGCCAAGGACTTTACCGACACCAAGCTGTCGTAAGAGAGGTGATGCATGAGAAATGATGATTCAGAACAAGGAAGACATCTTCACTAATTTAATGATCATTACAATGACCACAAATAGTATGACTTGAAGAACTCCTTGCCTCAATGTACATTGTGCACTAAACAGGGAATACTTTTCTTTTCCAAGAATTTAAAATGAGATTACTAAACACACCAATGGCAGATAAGTGGCAACATTTTTTCATATTCAATGGCATTAGCACATACTCACTATCACCTGTTTCGGTAACCAAAAAATAGCGCCAAACCTGTCTACTTTTCCGCGACGAGGTGACAGTCCAGTACACTTTCATTAAACTGGAGGTTAGTGCCCCATGTTACACGTGCCATGAGATATTCAATCAAATTCATAACTACCACTAGGGCAGTACAGATATTTGAAATGAAACTCACATAAATAAAAATAACCACATACAGATATGAATGACCACGTAGAACCCAATAAAGATCCTGCTTATAAGTATGGCTACCGCCAACACAATAAAAAAGTATAATAATTCACAGAAACAAACCGACAAGTACCCAAAACTAAACGAGCAAACCACATTTCCGCATTGTACAAATTCCAAGAACTTTATATTCACTCACAAATCCTCCCAGGCCACTCCGCCTCAATCCAGTAAGTTACCCCGACCAACTCATACCCAAAAATAAGCCGAATATAGGCACCGAATCATGCTTCCATAGATCCTGGACACAACATATTAACTGTAATAATAGAGACCAGATAAGACAGAGTAGAAGCCCCAGCCATCGTAACCACCACCACAGACCTCATGGTTGTCGTTTTTCATTACAAATAAATGCAGTAAGTGTAATTTATATATTTGATTAAACAGTACGATAGATAACACAAATAGAGAACGTACCTAAAAGCAAAAAAAGGGGCTTAGAACACCAAAATCAGTAAATAAAATCTCTTCAAAACTCTGAGTGAGCTGAGTGATCATCATTGGAAATTAGCTTACCTGGGAACCAAGCGTAAACATCAGGAACAAAATTTTCCATGAGACATCTGAAATTAAAGGATCGTTAAGAAAAGCGTCAGAAAAGAAAAAGTCGTCAAAATTCGGAGAGCTGGGTGATCATCACGTATTTACAAAAAATGCTCACCTGATTTAAAGAATTTGTAGCATGCCAAGACCTTACAAATTCAGATAGCAAGTGCGTCCGTAAAAAGTCAGAGACAAGGGCTGAAATCACGCCATTTGCAACGTTTGAACGAGCATGGGACAATATGGCATATGATACCAAAGGCTATCAAGCTAAACAAATTGAAGTTGATTTTCATTATCTCAATAGGTATAACAATACAATAATTTGCTTTCTTTATTTTTATCATACATCGCTAAATTAGGCTAAACGAGTTGTGATATTCTAATCTTAAAATCGAATTTCAAATGCTTGTACTTTAAAATAACATTTCCGAATCTGATATTTTGAAATATTTTCCAATAATTTTTCATTAATGATATAAATTGATTTACGTATTTTGTAAATATCTCTATGTTTGTTAAAGATATGATCTCCTTAAGTATATTTAGGCTTAATTGAATGGGTATTTGATTGCAGAGTTAAAGTACTTTGGCGAGGCCGAGGCAATGTTATCCAGCACATGAACTTTTTAGGGTGTTATTAAATTTGACTTATAATAAAAATAGACTTTTCATTGGAATTAGATTTATGTAATTTTAAACAGAAAAAATACGATGTTATTTCAAATATACTTCAGTATGCTTTATTGTTATGGGATTACTCTTCTTTAGTCAATAATTGTGATAAAATTAACCCCAGTATTGTAAATAGGTCCTGGCAATAGTAAGTCAATTATTTATTAGTAGCCTTTGAATAATGTACGGAGTCGTATATTTGACCCAAACCTCCAACTTTCACTCTATGGTAAAATCTACCGTAACCACAAAGAAGAAATCAGTCTTTTCATCTATGCATCATGAGACTACGGTTTTAGAAAATATACACCTCAATTCATCAACATTTCTTCACGTCGTCTCCGGTATGAATCATGGTCGTTGCCTCCATCTGATAACCGGCATTTGTGCACGAACCAACAGTCAACTGAAGTGTCCACAGTTAATGGCACCATCTACCCAAATGAGATTAATGTTTTTCTTCTGGTTTCATCATTTTTCGCATAATGTCCATCCGTTTTACCTACACAAATCTCACCCATGGCATGCCATTTACTTTTGCTAACAAATTTAGCATATCTTATTACGTGAACCACAGAAGACTGCTGTCAGTTTTTCCTCCAAGTCACTATTTCTCATTGGGTCAACTCGGTAACCAATAAAATTTTAACCTTTATGATAGACACTATCTACCAACTCTCCACATCTGTCCGTGCATCTCCATGAGTAAATATTTTCATTCAATATCGTCTTCTGAATAACCAACCTGGAACAGGAGCATTATTGATGCACAGATATTTTGAATATTTGATAAGTTGATAAATAACAATATAAAGAGGATAGATGCGGTTGGGTGATGTAACATCAACGCGTTTTCAGATGACTCGATCGAGTCCTGAATTTAGTCTATTTGGTAGCTCACCTACGAAGCCTTAGTAAAACTTTTTCTAACGTTGCCAAAAACAAGGCAAAACAAATCGTTGAGTAAAATGTGATTAAGTAGGAAAAAGCTATTAAAATCAAAGGTCATGTATTTTATCCTCTTATATTTATTTAAATATATTTTTTTCCATTTGCCTAATTTATTCGGAGTCCTGAAGTGAATTTTGCAATATTCTTCAAAATTTTTTGTGAGTGTGCATGCGTGCGTAGGAATTTTTTATCACATACATAAGATATTATGGATGAGATATTTCCGGATTATATGAACCCTTATTAAATTTAAGGATTACATGAGTAAGTATTAAAAAAAATAGAATTAACGTCTGCTTGGAACGAACACACAAACACACAACAAATATCTTTTGTATTATCATTATTTCAAATTTGATGGGAAGATTGAGTTATTAGAGAACGGAAATTGAATCCGAGGAAAATAGGGGCAACGATGAGCTTCAACCGGACAATTCCAAATTCATGCTGCATCTGAAATTGAGACAAGAATGTTAGACGCTAACTATAAAATACATGTTGGTCACAGTAGTAGGGGAATGGCTTACTGTTACCTGATTACTTAGAGTCAACTGTCAATTCAAATAAGTTATGTTGAGACTGGCGAACTCCACAACAGCAAGAAAGATAACTTTGCCACTTATCGAAAGAGAAGTTCGAGTTGCAATACCTACCACCAAAACTAGATCCGACCAATAATCACTCCACGCAGTGGATGAGAACTCATTCTGATCATGGGTACAACTTAAGGAATCTTAATGCCATAACGTTAAAGAAGTCGTCAAGTCTCATGAGGAGGTTGCAAAATGTCATTTCCATAGGTAATCCCATTTCTCAAGTGAGATGTTTATGAGCACTACGGTGGCCTAGCCTCCGGGAAACTGGTTCTTTCGCTCTACACCTGAGATGCGTTCAATTACTCTTCCCATAACACTTTGAAATTCTGAGAAGCGGATTTGAATATACCCTACTTCACTGTTGGAAGCTTATTGCTTTGAACACTTCAGTTAGTAGTGGAATGATTAACTCCAATGCCCCACCCCCATCAGTGAATTAGTGAAAGCTTTGTGAAATATAATGAATTAAAATAGGGCAATTCAGTGGAAAACGCAACACGAATGAATCATATATAATGTTAATCACTAAAACATGAAAATAAATGAGGGGGAGCATTCATCTCTAAAGTCCATGGAAATTTATTTATTTATTTCAAATGGCAGGCGTTTGATAGTTATCACCAGCTCTTCGGGATTCACAGAGAGGAAGGGGAATAACAGAGTGGCAAAAGTCGAGAGGAGGGACAGAACAATGATTCACAGATGTAAAAGAGACAGACAGACTGACACAAAGGCAGAGAAAAGGTAAGATGGGTGCTGTGAAAGGGGTCGAATATGACATGCAGAAGTCAGAAGTCACCTGTCAGTTAATAGACTTTTTTGTCGTATGGGAATACGTTGCCCAAGGTGCACCACGTAGAGGTAAGTCTATCGCACACCCCCCGTTCATTTAATGGAAATAAGAAAGAACGTTTAAGTTCATTAATAAAGTTCCTCAACTTCTTTACGCATTATCCTCAATTTAAGACATCTTTTAAAATTTTTATATTTATTAAAAGCTTTTTCTTGCCACATTTCTTACTTTGATTACATTAATTTATTATGTTAAGAAGGATTGCTTATTGAAATCGATTAATTAGTTCATTTAAATAATAAAAGAACATTATTAATTCTGTAGGTCAATTTAAATTTTAATGAGTATGGCTATAGGATGTTTGCAGAAAATCACTTACTTTAACTTTATTGGCATGTCCTAAAAGACAAAATTGGGAAATGGTAAAAGAAAGCAAAATAAATGACCAAATGGAACAATAGTAAGCAATCTGATTAGCTGGATAGCAGCATGTGTGCGTGTTCATGTGACAATCTAATTCCACAAAACAACATGTTCTAGCTTTGGTCATCTGTCACAACTAATCTCTATTCTCTACCAGAATCCCATTGTGGGTGTGATACGCTCTTCCTTATTCAACGACTCTCTGTAGAACAATGTTGGAATAGGGAAATTACTCTATAATGTGACTGATTAGGCAACAAAGTTTTCACTTATCTGAGACAAAGTCTCACCTCGCAAATTAAAGCATTTAAACGAGAAATAGGCACCCTGGGCAACGTATACTCATACGGCAAAAAAGTCTATTAACCGGCATTTGACTTCTGACTTCAAACTACTATGGCCCGACTATTTGTCATATTCGACCCCTTCCACAGTACTCATCTTACCTTTTTCTCTACCTTTGTGTCTGTTTGCCTCTTTTACATCTGTGAAACGCTCTTCTGTTCCCCACCCCTCAACTTTCTTCTACTTTGATGAACCTTCCCTCTGTGGAGCCCGATGTCAGCTAAATGGCTAATGACAGCTACCAAACGCCTTTCATTTGAAATAAGTAAATAAATAAACTTTTCTCTTCACTTCGTGGAAGCCCAACATCATTATTTTTAAGACTTGGATTTACTGGATTAATCTCTCTTATATTTCGAATTCTACTTCATCAGGCTATTTCGAAGTTTCCAAGTCAGTCAACAACAATATTTCGTTTCAGGCAACAGGAGAGAAGCCATACTTAAAAAGTGGAGGATTCAAGAGGGCATAATATAATTGGGAATATGTGTGAAGCATAAAGTGCTAGATAGATGAGCGGAGTAACATACGTTTGGTTGCACAAAGTGTGCGAGCGTGTGGGTAGTTGGCCAAATGTACCGTAAACACTCACGTCATAGGCTCTGGTTCTTGAATGTTAACTTATTGTGGGTGGGTGTTGGGGTGAGGAGCAATTTATTTCTTGTACATTTTGCTAGAAAGTTTTGGCAACGTGTAAGCCAAGGTGTGATAATACGATAGTTGCAAATATTATGCATGCAATTTCAAATGAAATGCACGCATAAGGAAAGAAAGTGTGCCATCGATAGTCATATTTTGGATAGACATAAAAGTAAATCATTAGCTCTTTTTTTGTCATGGAAATACTTTTAAAGCATTACCTAATTGTCTCACATGCTATTACGTTTCACCTACCTCAACGACCTTTGAGAACAGAAATAACTTCATTTCACCTAGTAATATTCCGGTAAGAAGAGTTTTAAAATGAAGTTTACTTGTTGTCAATGAGCCAATTCAATTGCGCAGATCTTTTCTTCACCGGATTCTACACGTGTTAGACCCGGGGGGGGGGGTTCAAGGAAAATTTGCCAGGACTTAAAATACCGACAATCTTTCAATTGTCATTGATTTTGGAAAGAGCTTAAATCTCTGACAGTTGGTTATGCTCGAGACCCTCATTAAATTTTGTTATTCGTGAGATAAATTCGTTTTGTTTTGAGACCATGACATGTTCACTTTTTCTTGCAGAAGGAGGCTCTTTTCCCCTCGCAATTTGCAGCCAATTTTGGAAAGAAGAATAGCAATGAACAATTAATACTATGAGATATTTATGTGCTATTTTTCAAAGACAAGACAAAATATCACTCCTTTCACTGGTACAGCAAAGGTGCCCGCCAATTAATCAAATGTTGCTTATGATGTGATGAATTTTACACCTTATATTTGTACTATGGAAATTTCACAGTGCAGTAAATTGTGAGGTGAGCATTGAGTTTATGAAGTCACAATGTCTACAATTAATTCTCTCAGAATTCACATAAGGTGGTTATAATGGAAAAAAGCTGAATTAGAATACTGCAAATGTGTTAGAAACATTTTTTCGTCTACAAAAATTTGAATTTTGAACGGTGTTAAAAGTGAACGCGTCACTGGAAGACAAAAAGGAAAAAATGATGGAGAAATGGAAATATAGAAAGAGCAGTGGGAAAGAAAGAGCAATGAACCTAGAAGTATTAAATAGCTGGTAACTAAAAAGGAAATGGCCACCTTCTTACATTTGACTCTATTCTCCCACGTCGGTGGTGTGTGTGTGTGTGTGTGTGCGAGCCTCCTTGTTGGTGGGTGGGGGGGGGGGCGGACTGGGTAGGTGAGAGGCCTTGGCAACCGTTGAAAGGGCTAAGTTGGAGGCTTTCTGTAGTAGCACTTACGAGAAAACCTCACTCTACCACCTTTCCTCTTGACCAGAATTAAACAGGATGGCGATTGATCACCAAAACCACTGAGTTTTACGATTTGTCAGACTCACACAATCACCACTGTACCAATAACACTGACTTAACGACCACTACTACTAAGCTTAAGGATTCACGTTATATATTGAAAATCCGAATTGCAGAACAAAAATTAGTGTCCGTTTATATAGACTATTGACTTTACAGAAGTGTTTGCCACATCTGCCAGGGGTAATTCAATAGTTTAAACTCAGCAAAGAATAGAAGGTCAAACGAAATATACCGTCAATTAGTGTTTCACGTAGGCGCACAGAGTGAGGTGAGTCAAGTAGTAAAAAAATGGAGCAAGTGGGGTTGGGCTCGTCATATGAGAAGACCTATTTAAGTGAAAATGACCTACACGTTCTCCAGTATTATTCTTTCAGATCAAGCCAACTATGTCCTCTTGGTTCTTCTTTCTCATATTGGCAATTGTTCAATTGCATTCAAAGACCCACAATGGTGAGTAATGCTTAGCAGATTTTCACTAATAACCAAATTTTTATGTTGATTTCACATTTCCATGAAGTAGTTACTATTATTCTAGAACGTTTGTTGAGCCTATGTCTAGGCTATATGGTCAGTTAAGACATGCGAAATCCAGGCAAATTGATATAGATTCGCCAATTTCTGTTGGCTGTCCAAAGCAGTTAGTTGAGACTTGTCGATAAGTATTTTATCAGAGCAAATCAGTACAATTGAACATATTTATATGATATCACATATGTTTCATTTTAGCTGGCAAGTATAAACCAATATGCGAAGTAATAAGTCTCTTGAACTCTAGCAGAGCTCGACTCACATGGATCCCACCAGTGGTGAAAAATGAAGAAATTCCAAGTTTTAGAGTTTTCTACTTTCATGATGGTGAACTCTTAGTGACACTCACCTCTGAAAACGTATTGGAAATTCCCATCAATGAGAACGACACTATGACCAGAGCAATTGTGAGAACTGTTACCAAATCCGAAGTTTGGGCAGATGAATACAAAGAGGATCCGAATGAATGCAAATTCAACTCGAAACGAAGTAATGACTGCATTTTTCGTGTTATTCAATCTTTTAAAATATGCCCCATTATTCAACTATACTTGTTTGACAGAAATGTTATTTTGCTACTGCCATAACCTAAGTTATTAATGTAAAATGCCGACAGTTGTTTCCAGAATGGCATTCACTCACTCATTCATTCATTGATCCATTAATTCAAATATTCATTCAGCAAGGAAATAGGCTTTCATAGATAGATTAGGTAGACGGTGAGTCAGTTAATGAGGTAATAGGGGGGGGGGGTTTCTTTTGACAGATGGAAAGTGGAGGAATCGACGAGGACGTGCAAGGAAGTCTCTGAATTTTACTCAGGTACATCCGAGCTATTCGATGTTCATACTTCACTAAGCACAATCTCACAAACGATACAACTAATTTCCATATCGATGCCACTTGGCGAATGTACTCATGCCATGATGGAAGAGCAGAATTAACTGATCATTTCCTTTCTTTCCCCTTTCAGCTGACACTTTTCGACATCAACTCTCTGATCCAGACAAGGAGGGTAAATATTTTTCTTGAAATATAAATTATTTCTCTATTAAATTGCCCATTGAATATTTCCTAGCCATAGAAGCACGCTAAGGAGAAATTGCAATTGCTCATTGTGAATAACTCTAATCAGTTCAGAAATTAGATTGGCAGGAGTAGTGAAATTAACATGTAATTGTTAAACAAGGTCTATTCTGGTGACAGCAGTATTTGCAATACCAAGCGAAAAACGCGATTGTACTCACTCAGAGAGAAAAAATGACTGAAGGTCTTTACTGGTGAGACCTCATCTGTTGAGGTTTGCTGCCTTAAATATGCATTTTTAATACCTGATCATGTGCATATGGTAAATAATATTGGAGGTAGCACAGACCACGAGGAGGAGTTTGAATGTGTGTCAACGAAGAGGACGAAAACTGTGGAAGATGAAAAGGCACTGGCATACAATGCATCTGTGAAGAATGTAAGTTACGATAAAAATACCAAACCAAGTTTGATTTCTACTCACTAAAAACGATGCAGAATGATGCACGACTGAAATATGCTAGCAGAATATGATCAATGTGGGGAAAACGAATGTGTGCAGAGAGTAGAGTTGGGGCATCAGATGTCATTCTTTAATTTACCTTTTGGTGCTAAATGTGTCGCTTAGGTGGCTCATTCCACTTGAATAATTTCATCTTACCTGAGCAGAACTGAGTGAGCGAACTGAGTGATCACCAACCACTTGCATTAATGGATGTGCTTTGATGTGCATCGATAAGCGATCTCTTTTCTCACCAAACACCACTTTGCTCATATCTCAAAGCCATGCTTGAACTTTGCTTCTAATATGTTTCAAATAACATGTTTATTAATCACAATAGATCCCCTTGCGCCAGCAGACGTCACTTTGCTTCCTGCTGAGTTGGGGACGGTTTCGTTGAATTGGTGGGCTCCACATGTTGACCCAGAGAAAATTCTGGGATATCAGATTCTTTACAGTTACGGTAATGGTGAAAAGACCAAAAATGTAACAAGAGAGGAATTAAATCTATCATTGCCTATTGAAGAAAATGCTATCGGTATCGAGGCCAAAGTTGGAATGATCAGAAGGATTGATTATGTAAGGATTGAAGCTGAGACGTCAACTCAAGCAGAAGGCAAGTTTTAATTTTTTACCATTAATTATTGAAATTCACCATTAAATGTGTCCAATTTTGCTATGACTTTCTACATAATCTGCTAATTAAAAAGACCTATGAGGTGATTTCTGCAAAATCCGCATTTGTGAATAAGTGTCATATTGGTTACGTGCTAATTGGAAGTCATGTTGTGAGCAGAATTCGGCAATTGGACAGAGGTAAAAGTGGAAATGAATGTTACTTCTGATGACTGCCAGTCATTGCAATACAAAACGAAATTTTAGGAATGGAGACTTACAAGTCTGGGAGGAGTAAGTGCTTTCTGGTTAAGTGTTTGTGTCAATTACTCTTCGTCGACTTCCTAATCTGAGCTGCTGAAGTTATCTTGTAAATGGGTTCTAGGAGGTACGATTGTTATTCATCAAACCACTGAAGACAACTCACATGCTACTTGAAAGGCAATAAGTAGAGCTGTTGGAAATCACTAGTCGGGTGATTGGAGTTGAAGTTCTGCATATCTTCGTCATTTAAGAAGCTGAGTGGTTAGCTCCTGTTTAGTGAGAGGTACAGCTATTGGCTATGCACTAATTGGAAGTCATGTTGTATTTTAACCTTGACAGCAGAACAGAAGTGAAAGTGGAAATGAGTGTCCCTTATAATATGAACCCGTACTTATCGTGTTAAATATCATTTTTAGATCAGTCATTATCTTCAGAAAAGAATGTGTCTACAGAAAATTGTGAAATTCACTATTCTAAGACCATCTTTCTTCCATTCACAATTGATGGTAAGTTTGAGTTTGTTATGAGTTCTTATTTAAACATAATTTTAAGTATGAATAATATCGCTCTGCTTATCGGCCTAATCTGTTGACAAATATCTTCTATCAAGATTTCGTATGCACGATCCATATTTTTTGAATTATCATCCTTCACTATTAATGTGATGAAAAGAGTAGAAAGCCGAGGATAAAATAAAAACGCACCTGATTTGTTGCGGGGTTGGTGCCTTTTTCTCTCCTCAGCAATCAAAGTCTGAGTAAATTTTGACAATTCCGTTTGCTGTGCCTTGGATGTATCGAAGGTTCGGTGGCAATCAGTTCATATGATTGACTTCTGGATTCCATAATTCCATTCCACCTGAAACTTGCGTTCAACACACTTGACGATTCATAGTAAATGCCTTAGAATTTGAAAGACACACCTCGAGGTATTGGTTGGATAGTCTCTTCCTTTCAGAAGCTCATTGGTCACTTCCTCATTGGTCAAAGGTGCTACATTTTGATACTCTCCATCAGGAGAGATCTTTTTGTGATTGGTTAATTGGAATTCATGATTAGGTTCCATCTTGATGACAGTCTGATCAGTTGTC